GGGGAAACACTGGATAGTATTATTTTAATAACAACAAGCTGGAACGAAAACAAGCAAAGATGAAATAAAAGTAACGACTTTCTACTTTTTGCCTTCTTTAAAAATGTAAGGAGTAGAAAGTACAGCAAGTTGTGTGAAAATGTAAGAAGTAGAAGTAAAAAGTACGCTGAAAAATAATTACTCAAGTAAAGTACAGATACCCAAAAATTCTACTTAAGTACAGTAACAAAGTATTTGTACTTAGTTACTTTACAACTCTGGTATTTTATGAAGGAAGAACACTGAAAACCAGACTTTAACCTGACCTTTATCTGAGAACATAAATGAAACTTTCATTATCCTCATTGTGTTTTCTGTTCATACACTGAGCACCAGCAGATAGTCTTGTCTGCATCCTATGATACTTTTATCACAAAACATCTTCTGCACCATAGAACTTCATGTGGTAACAAAGAAACCTGAGGAACCAGTGATTATTCWACAGACTAACTCAACTATACTCTGATAAAAGGTATATATTTTTCCCTCATTTGTGGCATTTCCTTAGCAGTTGCCTAAACTGCCTTTGCCACAGGCCAGCATATTTCACTTCATTACACCGTGTCCAAATTTAGTTCAATTTTCACAAAAGGAATGACTTCATTTTAGTCCTGACAAACAAGAATTTGACAGACATTTCATCGACATCACATTTTATGACAGAAACCTTGTGGAAAAGTAGATTCCTGAGGAGGATACAGTTCACTGAACATGATTTTGTTTGTGATCATAACCATTATATCGTCTCCAGTGACGTGGAGCTGCTGCTGCTGGGTCACAGAGATGTCTGGGCTTCAGAAGAAGGGTGGCTGGTTTTCGACCTGACTGCTACAAGCACGCTCTGGCTGCTCCGCCCTGAACAGAACCTGGGTCTGCAACTGATCGTCGAGGACAGCCGTGGTCAGTAATCATATAGTCTTTTGTAATTTTTAAAGGGCCAGTGTGTTATGTGTTTCTCAGGCATACATTTAAATACTATACCATAATAAAGTATCTATGTCACCTTTAGYTGTTATTAAAATGTTGTTTTTATGTTTAAATACAAAATAAACTTATCTTCTCATCACTTCCTCTTCTAAA